CGCACGAGGTCACAAACTTGGATTATTCATTAGGCCAACATCACAAAGAAGTCTGCACAAAATCAAAACTACCGGATTTTAAAAACTAGTCCTTTAGGGTTATTATCGCCAAAATTGTAGAAAAAAAACAGATTTTTCGCTTTCTTATCGATTTTTTATAAAGTTGCGTTCGGCGCCCGAGTTCACAAACTTGGATTATTCATTAGGCCAACATCACAAACATGTCTGCAAAAAATCAGAACTACCGGATTTGAAGCATACTCATACTACCCCATACTTTCAGGCGACAAAGTTACTGGATTTTTATCTTAATTGATTAACAACAACTGTGCGTCATCAAACAAAAAAATTGTGTTTTATTACTTTACGACATCGACATCTAATTTAATTATTTAGTAAATACGTTCCACCTTCGTCATTGCCGACTGGCAAAGAGCGTCACAATAAAACTGGTTATCGCTCAAAATTTATTCGGTCTCTTTCCTCCACACATTTTGGACTCTACAAAATCGCACGAGTTCCACAGCGATTTTCGCTAATACGGAGTAATTTGTGTTAATAATCAAAGTGGCCTTTAAATTGTAACAAGTGATCACCTCCTTGGAAGGGGAGACACGTGCTTCTATCGTCGAATAACCATTCGAATATATAAAGCCAACTGTTTTTGATAGCGCAGATGCACCTTCGAAAAAGCTGACAGTCGCGTGATTAGTTGTTCGATTGTTTCGATAAGTTATTTCTCGAGATTTAAATAAATAATCCATTCAATAGATATGTTCGAGGAGCCGATTTGTTAATCTTGAACTGTCATCGGCAGAAACGCGTATACGATTAGTCAGTTATTTACGGAAACCGATCCATTTCGACATTTGATGGTTTTTCGAGTACTTAAGTACGCTTGATAAGTTTTTCGCCAAAAATATTTGTGTTCAGACTCTCAAAGTGTGAAGGAAATAGTTGAGATATGGAATTGCTGTGGATGAGTTTGTTAAATGTTGGTCTTACCATGGGAGTTACATTTGCAGTCATTGCGAGGTATGATATTTTTTGTGGACGAATCAGCATTGCATCTGAGGTTATGAATGGTATTTGAGGAAAGATGCAGATATATTTTACGAACTTTCAATTGGGGATTGAGAAACTTTTATATAAGAATCAGTTATTGCTTATTCAACAATTTTCCATAAAGATTTTTCCCCGATCATAACAAATTTACAACATTTTGAAAATACAGAAATGAGGAAAGAAAGTTTTTGGCCATCTTGATATAAAATATGTGGGAATCTTTCAAAGAAAGGAAGGAAGCAATCAATTTCAAAAATTAACTCTATACAAAGATGTGTAGATCATGCAAACAAGTAATTTTCAAACACAAACTGGAAATAAAAACCCTCTCAAAACAGCTATTTTCATATAAACATTGAATTGCACGTAAGAAAAATACTTTCGAAACAAATACTTCTATATGATCGCTGAATTATATGAAGAACTCTTTTTTCTCTATTCCGTTTGTATTTCAAATATTCGTAATGGAATCAAATCAGATATCATTCACAGAATTTCTACACAATATAATTATTGAAAGAAGTAAAATCTCACTTGCCTTATCGACTCTTCAGTAGCCATGTCATCGATGACAGTACGTAAATAACATTCAGTCGCGTTTTTTATTAAATCCCAGCCATAGGAATCTCGTTTAATAATGGTTGTTCTGATTATTGGAGTCCTTGGTGGAATGATGTCCTCTCTACTCTCGAATCTTAAAATCATACCGGCTTGCCGCACTAAGGCAGAAATCTTAGCCGCACAGATGCAGAAGGCTGTCATTCTTAGCTCATTGCGGTTGCTCAGGACACATGATTCTCGGACCCAATGATCACTACCCCACGGTGTGGGGAGTGGTCATTGCGGGTTGATAATGCTGGCGCTCCCTCCCGAAAAGTGTGTCTTGCTAGCATTGATATAAAGACTATTAATGGAGAACGATAGAATGATTTTTTTCATGAGATCATTGCAAGCTTGTTGATTGAGATCGTGAGATTTTTGTGATACTAATATGGAGAGATCATCAGCGTATAACGTTAATTTAAAATGTGAGAGATATTTTACAATGTCTGCTATGTAGATTAAAAATAGAGCTTGAGCAAGAACACTCCCCTGAGGAACTCCAACTTCCACAGGTGCAAGATGAGAGTGGTGAATTGTGTTTTGACCGCTATTCTCATTGCAAGATTTTTGTACATACTGATATCTATTTTTGAGAAAAGATTCGAACCAGCTAAAAGCAGATCCCCTGATACCATAAGACCAAAGCTTGTCAAGTAGTCGATCGTGTGATTATTATTATTAGTCAGTTGCCTGATTTTCTTCGTGACGGCAACAGGTATGGTACCAGCAGGATATGGTACCATATCATAGTACGATGAAAGTAAGGCAATATCTTGAAAATATATTTGATGGAAGGTCAATTCCTAGATATTCCGATATTTTTTGGCCAGATTTAACCCCATTGGAGGTTTTTCTGGGGTTACTTAAAAGAAAAGGTATATGAACCCAGGCCATTCACAAACGTAAAACATTTGGAAACAATTATTGCGGAAACAATTCAGAGAATAACTCTGAATATGATTAGATATGTATTGAAGGAATTTTCTTCTAGAACGGAAACCTGTATTGTGAGAGAAGGCGGATACGTTGAAGCAACAGTGAATTTATGATAAATTATTACACGTTTGTTACGCAATTATCATTATTTGCACTGTATTCATGTAGTTGATAATTATTGTGAAATGAGTTATTTGTTATTTATTATTTATTTTGATGCATCATCAAAATATGAGACAGAGGTTAAGAAACGTAAAGGTTATTGAATTTTTAACGAATCAAGAGATAACGGATAAAAGTTTCTGATATTTTCAAAAATATATTTACTCAACTGTTGGACAAAATTAATATTTTCTGACAAACCTCGTACACGACTGATAAAATTTGATATCTGATCGTTGCATTTCAGGTTTGAGACCGTTCATAAATTTTTATGAATAATAACCTATTTTCGAAAATTCATAATATTAAAGTTTTCCATATGGTGTGAACTTAAGCAGATCCACTGTATAAGAAAATGTATGGGGAATTTCACATGAGAATGAAATTATCAAAGAAATTATTATAGCGGGGAAAAGATGTCATACGTATATTTTCTAAGTTTATTCCAGAATAAATATGAAAAGTTAGTCAAAAAATCAAATGAAGATCAAGCTTCATCTATTTCAATAGAAAAAAATAATATCTCGACCGACAGTGTTGAGTTCGAATCCACCTTTGGTCAGATATGATACGTCGACCTAATTGTAAAACCATGTAACTCCACGAAAATCAATTTCGAGTTTATTATACCAAATTGTTGTAGAAAATGCTCTACACCAATGATATAAACCTCGTTCCTCCAAAAAATTCGTTAAATTTAATAAAAAGGAATTTCCAAACCACGTATCTTTTGTTAGGGTTTTTTGTTATTTCCAACCCACTAACTCCTAGTTGTCCATGTGTTAGTAATAGTCATGTCAACAGTGCTCTACCAAGTGTTTTTTTTATTACATATTCAGTTTTTTAACAATCGTGGTTGAATACACTGACGAAATAATTACCGTTTTTTTATATTTTTCAAATAGAAAAGTGATTTTCATATTGTGAATAGTNATTGTAATTATTTTATGAGTTTCAAATACACATCCACAATATTCAAAAACTTTTTCAATACTCAGGTTGTTAATATTTAAAGGAGTTGTCACAAGTTCTTGTTATTGTTCTTGTTACACCTGCCTAGTCCCTATTCTGGTCCTCTACTTTGCAATGAGAGCGAAGTAATAAATTTTGAAACTTTTGAAACAAGTTACTATCATTAAAAACCAGTGTTACTCAAATCTCTCCCACCATTTAGCCTACCGCTTGAAAGACAGAAATCACAAACGCTTCTCCATACCCAAAACTGCATCATCCTTTTAGCCAGTATTTCAATAAATAGATCGGTGTCATCAGGAGAATACTGTTATAGTTCTCACACTTTCAATTTGGTAATCATTGTAGAAGTACCTAGTAGAGAGGACTGGATCCTCCGGTAGAAGGAAATATTAAGAGCGGATAGTTTTTGGTTCAGAGATGAACTAATATGTGTAACATGCCTCATCACAGGTCACTGTCGTCTGAATCATCATATGTAGAGACTCGGACTGTCGGAAGACGTCGGAGATATTGCTATTTTTAGTCAATTTGCATCAATTTGGCCCAATGCAAATTGGGTATCTTTAAGAATACTGAGCCGCTTATTTTGTAGAGGTCTCCTCAAATTGGTATTCCTCCCACACTGCTTGCATATACATCCACTTGAAATAGGGATATATATTGAGCGAGGGTATAGCTGTGATGTGAGCTTCTCCCAGAACAGTATATTCTTGCTTCCGTCTTATGTTCGGTTTTTGACCCGACTGTATACCTACTTTCCAGGAAGAAACTTCTCCGAAATTTGAGACAATCTTGGAGCTGGCGTACCTTTTTCCTCTCCATGACAAACCGTACCGAAACTAGGTCAGTCGTAGGTTTTTGAAGTTGCCAAATCTGTATCTGGGCTCAGTTCAACTCCATCATGTCAAGGCTAGGACATTTGAAGGTCAAAGAAGGTCAAATCAAGGCCCAGAAGCAGAGGAGAATATACTTCATTCTTTGAATGTTCACCTCTGGTAGAAGTCCATTATATTTCAAAGCGGACTGCAGTAGATTTGCGAAGAGACGACTTTGAGTTCGTTCATATACAATGGATCACATGTGGCCTAAGTGCTGTGGGCCTACCCTCACCCTCCCTGCTCCCCAGATCCAGATCCAGATGGCTACCAGTGGCAGCCAGCGTTATTTTCTTTGGGGCATGATTTACAACAATATTATGTTATCTACATTCTTACTAAAATGTGTACTATCCATTGTTAACAATATTTTGTTTTTCGTAGGAACTCTTACAGTAGAAGAGGTATATCGCGATCGAGATCAATTTGCTGCTCTTGTGCGAGAGGTGGCTGCGCCGGATGTCGGCCGCATGGGCATCGAAATCCTTTCTTTCACTATCAAGGACGTCTACGATGATGTCCAGTATCTGACGTCTCTCGGCAAGGCACAAACGGCCATGGTCAAGAGGGACGCAGACGCAGGGGTCGCTGAAGCCAATAGGGACGCCGGAATCAGGGTAAGGTTTTGAATAACTTGATTTTCATCGAAAGTATATTAGTTAATACTCACTCATTTGTTTATATTCGATGAGGAAATATAATATTGAAATGTATGAAGTGAAAAAAATTCTTTGTTGATAAATTGAATATGGAAATGAACACATAACTGAAACCTTACTAGTTTGAAATATTCAAGATTTGTTATGAATTGGGTAGTTTTACATTCACAATATTTCTTCTAAAGTGAATACTACNTATGTGTTTGAACGCATCCAAATGCCATACTCTTCGTTTTCATCGAACACATCACACAATCACTTCCGATTATAATACAGATAATCTGACCTCACATTCTGCTTTTAAAACTCAAGACCTAGGTGTGATCCTAGACTCCTCACTTAAGCTATGAATCACACATTTCCGCTGTAATTCAGAAATACATGACGATATTTGGTTTCATAATGAGAACTACCTGCAATTTCACTAACATCACTATTACTCGTAAGTCTATTTTTTCCTGGTTAGATCTCATCTCGATTGTTGTTCCACAGTTGGGTCCCCCCATAACGTTACACATAAAGTGAAACTTGAGGATGTACAGAACAATTTTCTGAGGTATGTCGCCTTCAAGATGCGTGTGTACTATGAGTATGTTGCATTAGGACGCATAGTGAACATACCTTCTCTCTAGGCACGCAGAAAATATAGAAATAAAATAAGTAAAAAATATGTTAAACGTTTCTATTGAAAAAAAGATAATGAAGATAATGTTTTAAAGGCTAAAAAATAATTCGGAAGGTCCTAGGTAGCAGTCATCACACCACTCTCCTCAGCAATCTACAGTATTGATTTTCCAAATTTGCAAGAACGTGCCAATTCTTTCAGCTCCACCACATATTCAGAAACAAAGTAAATCAGTTGCTGAATAGTTGAAATTGAATGTTTCTGCGATCTTCAACTTGGCTGTGTGGAAATGGTTTTTCGACAGTTTCACAACTTCCGGAGGAAGCCGAAGTGGCTTCCTCCGGGTTTTTTGGTGCTACCAGACTCTTCATTATATTGTATAGCTCAGGGCCACCCAATGTACCTAATCAACATTAACAACTTGATATCCTCCTCGGTTTTATTTACTTTGAACAGATGCTCCAATCTCTCTATATAGAACGTGAAATCATATTTCAGATTAAACGGTTCGATGATTCCTATGAATGCCATGACTTTTTTCAATACCAACACACTACAAAAAAAAACGTCGACAACTTTGATTTCAGACAAAGTCAATGAACTCTCAACGCTGACCTGGTTCTTGTTTTTTATTACTTGGTTCGTTCATACACAAACAACATTCGAACACAAACCACCAACTCATCGCCAATACTATGTATCGGGTTTAGAAATAACGATACGATGTGTAGGTTCGTAGTTTGTATTTGATTAATAAAATATATACGAACGACAAATAAGTAGCCAAATGTTTTGTGACAATGAGCCTTTTTTTCCTGAGAATAGTACAGCGAACGTGTCACGAGAGGCAGCACTAGTAGTAGGGACAAACATAAACTATTCACATGTACCTAAAACAGTATTATAATAACGTTANCTCTCATCCATTTTTTTGTATCAGATAGCAAGCCAACGTTTTAATGTTACAACATTGTTATCCTTCACAGTTGCAAATTTTAGTTTTGCTCCAGGAACATCTGTTAAAAACATTCTTTTTTAATTGTACTTTACCATATGTTCATATGAGGATTAGGCAGTGTTTGTCCCTACCGAACTACTAGCGCTGCCTCGGAGTGATTTTTCGTACTTCAGGAAAAAGGTTCATTCATTGTGAAAATTAAAACAACGGAAGAGTGAACAGAACGGTTTTGTGGTCACTTTGGCCTTGAACCATCTCAGCGGAATCCCCCTACCGTTTCCGATGCTCCGCTACCTCAGACATCGTTCTGTGAAAAGATCATTGATCATTTTTATTTTAATGTTCCCCGTATGTAAAGGTTTTTTCGTGTTCTGTCCTCACATTCGTATGTATAGAAGGTTGTTGAACTTTCAATAATAATTTCTTAGAACTTTCCGGTTGTTTTCAATGTGATTCACATTCAGATGATTGTACAAACATCACATTCAATTTTTTTACGCATAAGGAATGTCGCGTTGTTAAAGATCAAATTTCTATATATTATATATAAATATATACAGTGCATTCCATTTAAAACGAGCCACCCTGAATAACTTTTGGCACAATGATTTTCAGGAAAAATAAAAAA